ACAATTCGCCCCAACTTTTCCTGGTAAGGTATGCTCAATTGTTGAACGAGTTGCCATTACATGTACAGGCAAGTGCGAACCTAGCCAAAGTTGAAGTGAATTTGGAGGCTTTTTTCACTCTGCCGAATATAATGAAAACATTCGGTTTTCAAGTGCCAACAGATGTGTTAATTGCAACTGACCCAAGCGATATATGACCGATGCTGCAAGTCCAAGGCGGAAAAGAATGCAACCGAGCCCACTTAGTCTCACAACAACTCCGTAACATACAATACATCTTGTTTAATGATCTCAATCCGATACCTAGGTCTAGGAACGTCCAGGCACTTCACTCTACCTTAACTCGCTCCTATGTTCTTACAACCTTGCATTACTCACTTAACGCAGCTGAAGCTCTGAAAATTTCTATGCAGCCACATTGATGTATTAACCGTAAGTTTTCTCTTGTTTTGCACATGAGTAAAACTATACCAAGTACGGGTAACTGGACCTGGATTACTCTAGGCTATTACATACCATTATGTGCTATTCGTCTGATTTTGGCTGATGGCTCCAATTGCTACATTCGCTTTCACCTTTCTTCCCATTCTATGAGCCTGCAGCTTTCCATATGCATCGGAATCAAAAGACGAGAATGCTCGTGTTCTGATAGGAAACGACGGTGAAAACCCCGAAATGTCTTCCCAAACCCATCAGTTGCATCCCTGCATAACTCCCAACGCTTGACAGCCCCGCATGCTTGAGTATGTTGAACATGTAAATGCGATCCGTCTCTTTGTGGGCACGGTTTCTCGATAGTACGAGAAACATGCATTATTATTAGTATTTTTATAAAACTGAGTGGCCATATCTTCTGTTGCGGCTTGGGTTGACATGACCTTCCGTGAGTCACCAACACTCCAAGACGAACTGAGCGAATTTTTGCTAGTCCTCACGCAGAGAAAGTCCATGCTCCGAATCCGTCATTGCAACGGACTCTGCAACGAAAACCGAAGAGCAAGGGAGCACGGTCTTTACTTCCGACTCAACAAAACTAATGACACGCTAGGTTGAGGATATCATTTAACACATAACCACACTGCGGATACCGGTCATCAATTCTACGAAGTGCTTGGGAAATACATGCACAGATGAACCCGGATAAAATTCAGTGACCGGCGCAACCCGCAGTGTCGAGCGTTTAACCTTTGACACAGATGCAGACTGACTGAACATGACCCGGAAGACTGTCACACGATTGGCTTCCCATACACCGAGATGAGGGCGCGCAACGAACATCCCAGTTGGTGCGGCAACTATTTCATGACTGACCGTTTTGTAGTAAGGGTCGTGGGAGGGTGGAAAGGTTCGTGGGGCGGTAAAATGTACTCACTTGACTTTCTTGCGTTGACAACTGTTAACTCCTAACGAAGGAATTGAGTACCCGCTCCGACCATCTCACCTGGGGTGAGTGGTACTCCAGTTGTAAGCACATCAGTTTATTCCTGAGCAGAAGTCATCCGAATGCCCTCAGACTGCAATCACTGAGCGAGTGGTGCCTCTAGGCCTTGTCCACAGGTGGTTGCAGAACAACTCGTCGGACAGGAACGAACCAATTCAAGCGCGCATTCCATCCACACTGATTGCTGTCAGTCGTCTAGACCGGTAGAGTACGAGCATCGCCGTAAATCACAGTCTAAACGACAGAGTGTGGTTATCTGAATGCCAGCGCTCGGTAGTTATCCAACTCAGTCATCGCTGAACTTCAGTTTATCCACGATTACGCTATATTGCACATGAAAAGAAGCATAGGTTGTTACATTTTTATGGCGGATTCGATGGGTCAGGTCTTATCGTATGGCTAAAAGCCGACAGGTCGTAGTTCAGCAGCGGTTTTGATATAACTGTGACAACCAAGTTTGCATAACTTGAAAAAACGCTGTTGCGTGGTCATTAAAGTAGGTGCTGCGTTGCGGTGTACTTTCGAGAATGGGGTGGCTGTGTAAACAGATGCCGTATCGCAGCCAACAGAATCACTTTTATGAATGCTGTGCTTACGCGGGAAGCCCGTAATACCGATCTACCTGCCGTGTAAGTGTTGTCTGTGGTGTGCTTACTGATGGTCAGATCTCACAAACGCTGTGGAAATCGTCCCCTATTCGTTTCCACGCAGTGGCTTACCATAAATCTATATTAATTCACATTTACTTTCACCGAGTATGCAAGGACACAAGCCAAGTCGAAATGAGTCTTATCCACCCCCGTGCGCTCAGACCCAGCCATTGCGGTGCCAATGTTGTTGTAATGGAAGGTACCTTTGGTAAGTAGACATAAATGTGGAGCAGATATAAACATGCGCCAAACTGTTATTCCAGCAACTGTTCACGCAGAATATTTATGAATTACTTTAAGTACCTAAGGAACGTGGTCAGTAAGACAAAATGAAGTGTGGGAAAATAACAGCTTAGTTTTTGAATGCAGAGAAGAAAACGACAGCATTTTTGAAAGGTCATTGGATAGTGGATGAAAGCGGTCATTTAGGATGTTTACAAAAAATTACTGCATGTGTCAAACGAACTAGCATCAATGGAATCAATTGCATGATCTCTAGATGGACCGGCGCATCTACCAATCTGCATCATCAATCGTACCATTAAGGTGTATTCCTTGTGGAGGACTCAAGGGAAGATGAAGTCATCATTAGCATCATTATACACGTTAGCTGCAGGTGGAAAACACCTCAGCTATTGTGCCCCAATACTAAAGACAAGCAAAGGAAAACAAACAGTGGCACGCCGGTTGCGCCCCCAGTACCGGATGGACATCGTTCCAACGAGCTAACAGCTGCCTATCGTGCCGTAAAAAGAGAGTTACATTATGCCTAACGAGTGAGATGGTGAATGGAGGGGGATGCTAAACAGGAGGGGGATGGACAAATGAACTCACAACACAAACGCCATTGGGTCCTGCTCCAAGCCATATCAGCAAGTGTGTCCAACCAAACGTGTTCACCGTCCTTAGGACCCCAGCCAGGCAGTCCGGATGCACCAAACAACGCCAAATTCGAAGTGAGGGTTTTCATCTCTCTCGACCAAGTCATCGCTTGGCCTCTCCTCCTATTCTTCCAACCGCACCCACAAGGCTCAAACAATGCAGTTCCCGGAAGTCGGTCTGCTGGCATGCGCAACTCCTGGCCTGGTGCGTGATATAATGGTCCTGAGCGATTCATTCGCTCTTTCTGCACCAAATACACGAAGTTGAACACGCTCATGGCTCACGCGGTGCTCCCACCAGACATGAGCTAAGCTGCGAAGGCAGCGATGATCGAATATGACGAGTCTCATTATGTCTGTCGACCTGATGCGCCAGAGAGGGAAGCTGAAGGGAAGAAAATGAAACTTGGACACAAACTTGTTTATTTGACTACCGTGTGCTGAGTCTATCTTAGCTTGGAGAACACAGAAGCAAACTTTTCTGAGTTAAGGCAAATTTTCACTTATGTCCGTGGACCACGGGTAGATAATGATCTGAGTATATGGAGGTAGCTCCCAGTCGGAGTGGCAAAAATATTTACAAGTGACTTTCATTATTTATACAAAGAGAAGAAACAATAACATTATTGCGGCTGGAACCGCAAGAAAATAATATCTATATAAAGACCACCTTGCCAGACCTCATGATTCAAGTTGAACCATTGAAGTTCGAGCAATGAGGTCCATACACCTTAGTAAAACATAGACAGTATAGCTACATCCAGTAAACTTCTGTAAATTCTTGAGATGTTCAACATAAGTGCAAAATAAAAAGACGATAAAGTAGATGCCATTGAGAGGCAACAGTCGAGACGAACAATAGAGGGTTTTCTCCATTAAACACGGATGAATTAGGCACAGTGCTTAATCTAGTCACCCCACATATATATATATATATATATTATATATATGTATTATATAATATATATATAATATATATATATATATATATATTATATTATATATATTATATATATATTAACGATTGTGGTACCGATTTCATCTTCGGTCACAATATGTCTGTCATCGTTTTAACCACTTCAGTTAGGGAATAAATTTTATGAGTTTAAAGTTGTTATTAACCATCCGAATTTAAATGCCGCCCCTTTCACATGCTACCCGGGGCGGACCCCCCACCCATGTTACTTCTCCGAGTTACTATCCTCACCTCGAAAGCTGAAAATCCAAGGCGTTTGAAATTGAAAAAACCAGCAGCTGCGTAAACAGAGTGGATGAAGTGGTTATCCAGTACGTGATAGGCTGGGTTCCCGGCCAGTCTGAGCGGCGTCAGCGGAAGGATCTGGGGCAGAATACGAACATCAAACTATTCCTACCCGCATAGCTGGCGGAGACTTACACGTGATGACCTCGTACAATGAACCACCTGAGATTTTACCAACCCGAATGTGTGACTTAATTGACACTCTGACCTGTTAAGTGATTATGATCGTCCTTTCCTCTACGATGACGCCATCATTGTCTCAGTTTGCCTTAAAGGCTACACTAATACCCGTTGGGTCATTTGGACCGACGAGACTTTTGTGTCAAAAAATTAATGTCGCCATCCAGCCAGAACAAACGATTGTTTACAGACCCTACTAAAATCATGAATTCTCTGTCGGCCCCAAGCTAGTTTGTTCTTGGAACATATAACTCCTTTATTCATGTACTTAATTTCATGCAACTTCCAACACCGAAAATTCGTGTTTTTCCGTTCTACCAACCGATATGCACACTTTAATCTGCGGTACTTCACTTCTCTGCTTAGACTCGTACACTACTAGGGTCAAGTTATGACAGAAATTACTATAGGTCAAAAGTGAAGGCTTCGGCGTGATACGAAGGTGGAATGCTGTTTGTCCATGCAAACGAGGTGACTGTTTGGGCAACAAGATCGCGAGCCCTAATCATCAGCGGCAGTTGATTGCTCCCGACTGCTTGGCTCGTTACCACTTAGTTACCGGTGCAAATGTCGGGCATTTTTTGAGTATGGCGTCTGTAAGGCAGAGAACCGCGTATTCTTCAATCATCCCAGATGTTGTAAAGGATATTAACCCACTGGTTTCTCCAATTCAGTTGCACGCTGCCATTAAGTTGTTGCACGGGAGTACAAAGATGATTGCCATTGCCAATGATCCTCAAAGTATGTGGAACGAGGTCACAGTAATTCATTGCTTGAACGCCGGTGGCCAAGTTCGTAAGCGGTGAGTAGATTAACCGCCATTGGACGTCGATGTGACCTGTTGCCCTTTCTCTCGCAGGTTTCTGATTTGACGATCAGACCGAGGCCACTCCGCCCCAATTGGACGAAACTGAGAACGTCGGTTCTCAGAGGGTTTGCAGAGGGTTGCCGCAAGAATGAAATAAAGGAAGTATTGTGTGCGTTGCAAGTGGTGTTCCACAGTCCTCTCGCAGTTCATTGGTTCAACGATGCATTAAAATAGTGAAATACAGTAGCGCGGAGGCTGTCCATTAATCGCTGTCAAATAGTAAGGAGTGTTTTAATTTATAGGTAAGTTTAATTTGGCTCTCATTACTCGAAACTTTCAAGCCTAACTGTTCTCTCATCACTTTGGTTAGTACCATTAACTCGTTGACAGTGACTTGTAGACCGTTAGGATTACTTTAAGTCTTACCTGTTTGAGTTGTCGCCTTAATGTACCCATTTCTCTAAGGAAGGTTAACAAAGCGAAGCCACCGTGGTTTCATTCAGCTGCACGTCGTCTAATGAACCAGAGTCTCCCTGCTGGCGCACTTATCGCTCTTCTTTCACAGTGAGCGCTTTTCGGCCCTCTCGAGCACATCTGCCCACTACTGACTATGCTATGAAATGGAGCTGTGCGACTCGGCTACAGTAAATCCAAAGCGCTTCGCTTATGTCAGAGGAAGACTGATATAAGCTCACGCCTTCCAGACTCGATTGGTTCCGACGGCGCTGCTGCTGACAAACCAGGCCAAGGACTGTCTGCTTACGAAACAGTATGCGAGGGTATTTGTTACGGAATCCGATTTGCTGCCTCTTGGTTTAGAGACTGTAGTTCGGATTCACTACATTCTGACGGACGTTTCTATTAGTGAGACTCAAGTGCTCGTGATAGTACGGGAATCAAATCCTAACAAACCGACTGGGGCAGATACTATTCACTCCAAATTATTAGATGAACTGGCAGCTGAGCTGTGTGGGCCAATCACGTTCCTGCTTGAGAACCTCATTGATTCGTACTTTCTGACTGGAGAGAAGCGGTAGTATGCCTTATTCTCAAGAATCGTGACAAGCATATTCCTAACATGTACGGACCGGTTAGTTTGACTAGCATACCAGTGAAGTTACTGGAGAAGCTGGTGGGAGATGCCTTTCTAAGGCAGCTAGTCTTAATTTAATGCAAGCGAATTTTCTGCATGAGTTGGCGATGAAACGTAGTGGACCGCTCACAATATAGTCAATTGCAGCTGTACACTACCTTCTGAATGGAAAGAGCTTGTCATCAGTTCGATGCTCAAAAACTGGCGAGACTCCGCGAATCAGCATCAAATAGCTGCACTGAAGATGTTACCTAGTTTGGTAACGAAACGTCTGCAACAGAAATGCCTAGCTCGGAGAACAGGACGATCTTTTCGTGCACATCCCGAGCTACAGGTATTCTCAATAATTTCCATAGACCAGTCAGTCTGACTAGTATCGTAGACAAACTGCTAAAATAGCTGATGAGAGATTCATTAAAGCGTGATCTGGATAAATTTATTCTAATCAACGGTGCACAACACTGATTCCGGAAGTCATTTTCGTGCCTGAACAATTTACTGGTGTCACGTGAGTACTGTGCTTATGCAATGGATAAGTAACACGAGGTGAACGTTCTCTCTTTGACATGTCCCCCTGCTTAAGATTGTCAAAAATACGGAACTCTTATGGTTAATCTGAGCGCGTTCTTCACTGGGTATCTGCTTTCTTGCAGGGACGAGAACAGTGTGTATGGCAAGCGGTCCTTAGCGGTAACTCACAGCGCTCGATCCTAGGACCGATGCCGTCCTCCATCTATGTAAACTCCATGGGCAGCTTCGGGTATCATCGCTATTGTTTACTGTTGACTTATGTCCGGTTTTACGGATGTTACAGTTTATACGTCGTTCTTTCTGAGTCTTAACTGCCGACGTCTTGGTGAAGCCTTTTTCCAAGCCTAATTGACGCCCTCGGTTTGTACCTACAACTCTTCCATTTACATCTTGGCTGAATTACAATGTTCTATTTCCGTTTTCGTATCTTGATTCTCATTGGTTATTTTACGTTCTATTGTTTAAGTTGTTCCTTTTCTTCCGTTGTGTGTTATTTCCATTTCGCGTGACAACGACAGCGTGATCTGCTGGTGCAGAACACGTGGGCATTGATTGGTTGAGCGCGGTGAGATCCACGGGTGCCGACTATTCACTCTCAGGAGACAAGTCGATTCGCCGTAACGTACCCCGGATCAATTAGGTTTTCACGATAGAACATCCATGGGATTATCTTATTGTTCATATCACATTTGAAATCGAACTACGGTATTATACAACTGACATAGTAACTTAGCACCTCGAGTGGAGTGACTGTGGTCTTGAAACACGCCATCACTCTAGGTGTTTTACTATTGACGTCTATCCACTGTAAGTATTTTAAAGTGACAGCTTTAAAAACCGGACTTCTTGGTGCTCCGGCAATATTCTCCTGAACACAATGCATGATCAGTGCTTGTGTATGAGGTACACCTTAGCCGTAGTTAGACGCGAATGTGACGTGTGCATGTGAAAGTCACTTTTTCGCATCGAATAATCACGACCGCACAGGTTTAAGTCGATTGCACTAAAAGCACTCTATGACAAGCGTCGGCATCCACGATACAGTCGTTTAGAGGTTGTGGCTTCAACAGATCCCAGCAGCAGGGGTTAAAGTCGCAGCGCTGCTACCAGGAGCTGACAGTCATAACAGCCTCAACGCAAAGTCCGTTGTCGTCACGATAATTTGTGGCAATTTATTCACATAGCGTGTGCTTTCAATGGTACGCCTGATGCAGTTTCTTATAAAACGTAATTAAAATGCTTGGAAAGTAAACCTCTGCTCACATGATATGCTGGCATGAGTGCATCCTCCATCTCATTCGACATTTGCTTAACCAACTTGCATGATATTTTTGGTGTTTCATTTTGAAGACCCAATATTTCCCACGAAAAAACATCGGTCAGAATTGGAATCTCATCACCCTGGGAAAGAAAGGAATATTTTGAAGGAGAGGGAAGGTCCAGTTACTCTCTCGATACTGATAACGTTATGTCTATTGTCTAAGTGGATACAAAGTCGAATTCGTTGCTGGAAACTTGGCAGCAGATAATTTTTTTGATACAAAACCAGTGGTTTGCTTTAATTGTTTGCCCTACGGTAATGTATTTCTGGCGATCAGTGCAAGAAGAACCATCGGAAAATAATTTCAAAGCGTTCAAGCATTCTTCAGATGAACGGTGCACTTACTTTAGAGCCAAGCCGTGAACTCGTTTTTGAAGTTGTCAACTTTTGTGTTGCTCACAATTTTTAAGGTATACTGACTAAGCCCATATCATCCACCGTCCGCCTGACCAATGCTAGCATGGATAAAGTTTACTTCCACGTTCAAGCTGCATCCAGTGATCTCCAGATTCGTCCGAATTCCGGCATTCTTAAATCCGGAGAGAAGGAAGAGATAACAGGTAGTCTATGCAACGTATTGCATAACTTTCATTTTCTAGTCTTCTGGAAGCCAATGGAATGGAACTGTACAGATGTTTTACGTGATCGAATCATTATAAAATCAACAAGGATGTATAACGGGCAATCCTTTGATTATGAAGACGGGGTAGGTGTCCAAATATGGATAGGCTGTTGGTTTAGTGTACGGTTCTTCATGAAAATTCCATTCAGCAGATAGACACCATCCTCCAGTCCGCGGTTGGTGTACATGGAACGATATTAGCGGTAAGTTGTAGACGGTTTTAACTTTTGTATCCGCGCTATCATATTTTGGCGTAACTTGCTTTCTATACACGGATATTGCTTAAACCTACGCACCTTCCCATTTTTGTCATTATTTTTCTCCAGCAACCTAACTCGTTCGACAATTGCCAAACTATCTCAATGACACCGATACTGACTGAACTCGCTGATCTACGCCGGGAGGTTAGACGACTGCAGGTGTGTTGCTGAAGGTGCACTATACATTTCACAAATCATGTCTTAAAATTTCCTTGTCTTTTTCGTCCCAATAATTGCGCTTACTCCTATCATTCATGCCGCACTGCGACCAGCAACACCATATCGTTGCGAAATACAGACAATGAATTAATTACCACAAGCGTGAACTGGTACATAGATAAACAATTTCATTCCCCTTGGTTACTGTCTGCCTATTTCTCCGCGAACGACACTGATCGGTGCTGATTTTACTGGAACGTTGGCTACGCGGTCACGATATCGTGTGATTAGCTTTCCTGTACGATTATGTAGATCTGTCATCTAATTTTGCCTCTTACGTGTGACTTGGTACAATGAATTCCGTTGTATCATTCCCCCTTTAACTTAGGGGGACACGCAACTTTAAATTGGTCATACATCTGATAGAGCGATGTCAAGTCAACTTAATCTGCGTTTTATATGCCCTCGATTGGAGGGGATTTGCAGCATTTTATAATAGCTACTGCGGATGCTCTAAATTAAACCGCATTGAAGAAGTCAAATTGTACAGCTTGAAAAATGGTATTAAGAGCACAATGCTCACTGGAATGAGTTGTCCTCATTATCCATCCTCTTGATAGTAGATTGTCGAAGGCTAGTTGATCGATTCGATCGAAAGTTCCTCAATTCACAAATTGCCCAGTATCCAGAAGTTATTTAAAAGGTCGACAGAGGACAGCACTAGTGAGCTTGTATCTAGTCTAACCGAGGGAAATGTCAGGAATATTTATTGAGAACGACTAAGTTAAAGACCCCTCCAAGAGGGGTTTTGTGTGACACCAGCCTGTAAAATGCAATCCAGTAGCATTTCACGAGATGTTTCAAGGGATTATAATCTGAGCGACATGCGTTTCGAAATTCTAGGATATGCAAATCTGCTTTTATTTCCGCAATTTGCTTTTTCTTAGCTTGGTTACTCTTCCAGGGGCATGTAACTCAGCAGTGTTTCACACCAACTTCCATTTGCGAGTTACTGAAGTTCCAGTAAGCATTCTTTCGTGCAAGCAGGTGTGCTATATTTTTACCACATTTCTTTGCATTCCACATTAGCATATGATCTCAGGTTGTGTACACTTTATAAGACAGACCTCTCCATCATCCTGTGTCCAAGAGTTTAGAAGAACACTCAAATTGATTTTACATTTGCTTGTACGCAACCGATTAACGATTGCCTTTCCCAGTAAGTGGATAATATTTCAGAGATGTAGTATCTATTTTTCTGTCGATTGCATATAACTGGAAGTGTATATGATATGGATGGACTCATATGTGATTACACAGAGTTGTTCAATAGTTTCAGGTGTGAATTTATGTGGCATGGACCTAATAATGCTACATGAACATCGCATTTTATCGTTGGAATTTGTTTAGATAAACGCCGTCATTCCTCTCAACTCCCCCCCCCAGCTTCCGGATTCATGCTCTCGTTGCAGAGGTTCGCTCAGTGCGACGCGAGCAGAGCTCAACCAGCTACGCGATGAGTTGGAGCAGCTCAAGGTACGCGACAGACGGGAGTGATGAACCGCAGTTCATTTGTATTCGAGTTATTGCCCAGACACATGCATCCATGGTCGCTTCGTGTTTTTGTGTAACCGAGTAGAGCTCATGAGTAGTTCGGAGTAGTATGAAAGTCCGACCAGGGTCTGCATGCCTATTCTGTGTCGACGCAACATCACCACAAAGTTTTTCCGTGTGCTGTAATAGTAAATTTATTGCAGTTAGAAAGCAGCACACCCCGATCAGCCAATTACTGTCCCTAGGTTCTTCACTAGCAGTCCCTGCTGGGCGGGTCATGTGAAGTAAGAAAGAGGAAACAATTTAAGAATAATGCAAGAAGGGGAAATTAACTAGAAACCTATAATAGTAAGATACCTGAGCAACGAAAAACGCAAAACAGAAAGCTGACCACGAGTCAGTTAGGAGAAAAGAAAGCTTAGGTGTTGCCACCCAAAATCATCGAGCTGATGCACATGAACTTTAACACTAGGTTCCCTAACCACGTGATCTGGAAGCGGGTTCCATCGCTTTAGAACTCTGCGCGACAAACGAGTTTGTTCCCTTATACGAAAATAGCGGGGCTTTCGTAGTGTCAACGGGTGATCGCGCAGACTAGAATACGGGATACGGCTATCCCTGTAGACCCTGCACGTACTTAGTAGCTACTCGTAGAACCCCACTTCAAGTCCATTTGCCCTGGATAGCACAGAATAAAATGGATGCATCAGTGTCTGGATATGCCCATCACTGTGGCCTTCACGGAGAGCGCCACAAGACGTTTGTGCCTACAGAGGGACCAAGGATGGCTTGCGTTGCACCACCCACAGTTCCACCCACACACCTCGCTTCCCGTGTAAACCCGAAGTAATAAGACCGGGAGGCAAGTGGATGGGAGCCACATTTTATCGACGGAGCCAGGCCACACTACTTGAAGAAACAGAACAGAGACCTTCCTGTTTAATTGAGAAATCATGCGTACCTGACGTACACAAGACGGTGGCTGGGCATAGCTCGTTCCACATAGGATGGAACCACTCTATGAATTTAACACCGTCACGAGGACGGTGTACTTCGTCCCCTGCAGCCACGACCAACTGTCTCCTGGAGCCAATATGGGCGATTTGGTGGAAACACCTGATGGACACGCCTGGTTATAGTACTTCACGTGGGGTCGAAGCATTACCGAGAACGACTTCAAAAGTATCGCTGCCCATAAAACTCCGTAGGATCGACGTATTCACCACGTCATACGGAGCGCCCTGAAAGCGGCCTTCTGCCAACTGTTGCCAGAATGGAGAGCTGATGATTGAACGACATCTAAATCCACCTGCTGAGTGCAAACAGGGACTTCGCCACTGTCGACAACATATATTGTGTGAAGATTAATAGCTCCCATTCCAAGAACCGAACACTAGACCTCATTTTGATGCATGAACCACAAGGCAGACCTATCCTAGTGCCTGTCCAAAACACTCCGAATTGCTTCAGAAGCCCCAGGGATGGCCACGATATTCCAGAGCTTAAGATCTTCAGCAAACCTTAGCGATAGCACTACTAGATCCCCCGGTAACTCATCTACATAAATCGCGAACAGCAATAGCTCTAGTACCAAGCCCTGGGGAATGCAACCGTAAGCGTCAGTAGATGTAATATTGAATCTTTAAACGAAGATTCACGCACGGATTGATTCCCAGGACTAAAGGAGCAAAACTCGATGCAGCGAAAATCGGAACCATGGTTCTATAATGGTAAATTTAAACGTGTTTAAATAAGTTAGGACTAGGTTTGTAAAAGTAGCCTCAATGTTGCTCAACGGTGAGGCGAAACAATTCCAGCAGTCTGTTTCTGGGCAGCGGTGATTTGGTGGCAGCGGAAAAAGGACAGCAGCGTCCAGCACG